TGATTACTACTGTTGCTCCCTCTGCATTGATCTTGCTGTTCAGTTTGGACCTTCTCATTAAGTACAGCTGGGCAAGCCAGAGAACTGCAGAGGTCAGCAATTAAGTAAAGCTACTCTCTAGCATTCAGCATTTTATATTTCAGGAGACACAGAACACGATTTTATTTTGCAAATGTTCAGCTCTCAGAGTTTCAGGCAACAGATGCATGCTTCTTTGTTGCTGAAAGCCCTGTTTTATTTGCCTCCAGTCGTTTTTATGCTTCTCAGGAATGACTGGGCATCTAATTCACAATTAAATAGTGGATTATTTTGTTAGCACTAGGGGCACCCCTCATGTTGAAGTAAGCAACATTTCCCCTGTGCTTGCTTATCTGTATGTATGCACTGTTTTGTTGTTCTCCCCATATTCTGCTCAAGTAATGGTGAATATCCACCAACACTGAAGATGAGGTAGTTAATGCTGAAGCATGAACAGAAGCAGCTTTTGCTGAGGAAATGCAGTCATCTTGTTTTAGTAATGAGCTTAAAGCATTCCAACATCTGCTCTCGGGGAAAAAACAGTAGCGTGGGGGATCTTGTTTGTTTGCCTGCTTTCAGTCAGCATGACTGGATTTTGATGACTTTGGCATAAAAACAAAAAAAGGCCCAGGCAGCTGAGACTTAGCTGCACCGTGGTGATGCGCAGCTCCTGTGCAGTTATTAGACTGCACTATTTTCACAAACTTCTAGGATTTTGACACTGAACTTCATCTGTCTAATACAGACTTAGTTGGATGCGACCAGTGGTGAGTTGCATAGATTCTAAGGAACTGATTGTGCACAGTTTTTTCTTCCATTTACCATTCATAGCATAATGACAAACTGTGGTTAGTTACTGTGAAAAATGTTTTCCAAAAGTGTGGTCAGGCAGTGGCACCTGGGGAGGTGTGACTCCCAGGCTGCCCAGGGAGGTGGTGGAGTCACTGTTCCTTTAGGTACTCAAGAAATGTGAAAACGTGGCACTGAGGGATGAAGTTACTGGAGATGGGTTGGTGGTTGAACTCTATGATTTTAGTGGTGTTTTCCAGTTTTAATAATTCTATGGAACTGAGACTGTGGTCTTTTTTTTTTTTTTTAACGCTCGTGCCACAGTGAACTAGAAAGGCTATGATGTGTGCATTCATGGTGGGCACTGGGCAGTGCTAGCTTACTGCAGTGACTTTGATATGCTTGGACATCTGCACTTGCTGTTGCAATTCTTCTTGTCTGCACTGTGGGGTGGCTGCAGTGCAACCTTCGTTGATGTTTCTCCCTCAGTCCTCTGTTCCTCCAGTTCTTACTAAGTGATTATTATCAGCTGATGTATTCCAAAGTGTTGGTCAAGTGTTGCACTCAAATCTGCGCCTGTGTACACAACACGTAGGTATAAATACTATGTAGAATAAGTGAGCTAGAATTTGATTTCTTGATTGAAATCAGTGTTGCAAGGTGAAGGTTTTCCTACCTCAAGAGTTCCTTCTTTTAGACTGCAGTATACAGCAGGAATTGCTGGAAAGGACCAGAGAAAGTCTTTGTGCCTCAGAAAAATGAACCTGAAGTGATCGCAGAAGTTGCTGATGTGATATTTAATTCCTTTCTAAGTCCTAGGCATCCTCTGTGAGAATTGAAGAGCACAGTTCATTGTATGGTCTGGTTGTTTTAGAGGTTACTGTAATGATTAACCTTCGTTGTCTTGTAGAAAATGTGGGCTTTCTAGTAGAATTCCTAGAACTTAGGCTGCCTAAAATAGCATGAGATGGGAGGTGCATTCAAATGACTGTGGGGTCTCCAGTGAAGCATCTGAAAGTGACTTTTTTTTGTCCCTGGCTGTCTGTCTTTTTGCTGGTTAAATCCTCCTGATACAAGAAGATTAACACTTCAGAGAACCAACCTTTACTGGGTGCTGGTGCTTGTATTAGTCCATCCTCTAAGAAACTGATCCCTGTAGCTCTTGTGCACCTGACAGGCACTGCTGCGGGTGCTGGGATTGAGTAGACTGGGAAGTGTCCATCGTGATGCAGTGGGCTGTGTGCAGTGAAGGAGGCTTCAGTAAGTCACTGACCTGGTGTAGAAGTTGAACGGAGTGTCAGAAGCTGACTGCTAGTGTCAGTGTTGCCTGCCTTGTAACTAATGGCAGTTATGCTCAAACAGCAGGAAAAGGTATTTAAATGCAGATAGGGACCTTGGGAATGCCCTCAAATAAGGGAAGATTTCCATTGTCTTCTGATACCTCATCAGTATATGTTTCAGCCATTTTCTGTATTCACATGGCCCTTTTAGCCAGGCTAGCAAACTCAAGTTGTGAGTAAAAATGAGTGGGGTTACATGAGCTTGGAAACATGTTAAGTTACTTATGTGAAGTATGTTGGTTGATATTAAAGTAATGCTTTCAGATTAGTTCCGTGGAGAGTACAGCAGAGCAAATTCTCAGCTATGGATCACTATTTGTCTCCCCCATTATCTATGCATTTTCATCAGCAAAGAGTCTGCATGCTATGCTTGTGTAAGAAAATAAAAATAATTTTTAAAAAATCCTGCATGAGTGAAGGTGATCTACTGTTTCAGGAAGGCTCAAGATCTGCTGCTGTACCAGCAGCATCCACCTTCAGCATCATGAGCCAACATAATGAAATAGAAAGCATTACTTTCAGAGCAGCCCTCATATTATTTCTCTGCTTCTGTTTTGCGTATCAAATGGGAAACAATGCTTTCCATTATCACAAAGTGCTGGAGGTGTGAAGTATCTGTGTCCAGTGTGTTGATATAGTTTATAGATAATGGTTTTTAGAAATAATCTTCTGCATCGGTGTCCCTTCTGCTAGTGTGAAAATCATTATAACACCATGGGGTATGCAGCTGGCAGCAGTCATGAGCCAGTACTCAAGAGATGGATAAGAACAGAGTAAAAGCCACCATCTAAGTAGTCCAGCATTGTTACACAGGAGAGCAAATGCTTTCATATTCTTGAAATAAGTTAAATCAATCTTTGTGTGATTCTTGACCTACTTATCATATTTTCAATTATTACTTTGCTGCTAAACTGTGACTGTGGTTAACTAATTTTCCCTTGGAGAGAAAAATACTTTAAAAACCCATAACTCTTGCTTGTTGTGACTTCTTGCTCTGATCAGATTTGGGTGTCCTTAGAGACAAATTGTACTTCTACTTGCTTGTATGTCTTCTGCCCCCATGATGTTCCACGTATGCCATCCACCTACTGATCCCATCCATAGTGCAATATTTCTGAAAGGCAAAAATTCCCAATTCTGTGAAACTCATTCCCTTTTGCATCCAATATCTCTGTAAGTGGATCACAGGGACCTGGGAGGGAAGCATGGATTTTAATTTGCTGTTCTATTCATAGAAAATAACATCAGTCTTGGCTGTCAGTTAAATGCCACTCATCATTCTGCATTGACATGATTACTTTTAGCATGCCATGATTAACCTTTGTTTCAAATTCTTGACTACATCAAATATTGGCAAGCTTCATTTACCAAATACTCAGGAATTTTAAGCTTGGGGGTATGTCAAGGTGCTTTTCCCTGTGGATGAATGTTCTAGCATAATGCTCTCTTCATCTAGAAGAAAAATGGTAACCTCACCTGTAAAGGTGCAAAGCTTCTTGTCAAAAATATTCCATAGACTTCAGTGGGATTACTGTGGTGACAAAATGCAGCTGAACGGAAGTGAGACGCATAGTTTTACTTTTCTATACAAGAGGTTGAAAGACTCTATTTTTCTTTTTAGGCCAGATGATTGAGGTCCAATTTAACTTGGAGTACAGAAAGAGTTCAGTAGCTATTCTGGTGTACATGTATTGCACTTGAAAAATAAGTGTTTGCAAAAGGTGTAACAGGACCTTATTCAGTTTTCTTTGTTTCTATCTCACACAAATGAACATTGAGTATTTTCATTAAAAATCATTATAGCCAAATTTAGTCCTAAGTTAAACATTAAAACATTAAACTGCATGTCTCAAGAGTTGCATCAGTCTTCTGTAAAAGAGGTGAACATATTAGGTCTGCCTGCATCTGATGAAGAACCTGGATGCAGATGCAACAATGGCTATCCTGTTCCCTTCATCTCCCTCACCCAGATCTATCTAGGCACGTCTGAGTTCCTTGCTGCTGTAGGTGTTTTGCTGTTGCCCTCTGCTTGTGTCCATGTTCTGTGCCCCAAAACCAGCAAGCTCTGTGCTCTGTGTGGATTGCACTTAATCAAGGCTCATATTCCACTCAGAATTAGAGAGCTGAGCTCTTGCAGCAGTGACTGAATGCACATCTCTGTTTGTGGTCCCAGCTGATGTACCTTCTGTTGTCAGAGAGATGTTGTCTCTCCTATAGATCTGTGTGGTGCTGCAGTTCTCAGGGCAGCTTCTTGTTGCTGAGCAGAGCTGGGGGAATGGGGGTCAGAGCTCAGAGTGGGATGCTGCTGCTTTGTTTTTTTTGTGTGGTATTTGTTGTTGTTTTTTAATGTTTGCTCTGAATTAGTTAATCACTGCTGCTGTGGAGGTAATATGTGACTCTTTGAGCAGGGAGCAGAAGAAAATTCACTTTGCACAATGTCTATTTGTTCTGAGATGGTTGAGTAGCGACTTGTTTACCGGTTACTGCCTGGATGCCTACCTGTGCAACCTGGTGTAGGGAACTTGCTTTGGCAGTGGGGTTGGACTCGATGATCTCTGGAGGTCCCTTCCAACCCCTACAATTCTGTGATTCGGTAATGCTTTTGGGAATATGATGATAAAGTTGTCAGAAGGTGATGCACCTATGTTAGCCTCAATTTGACTGGAATCCAAATCATACCCGCTTAAGCCTCGGTCCCTGCGGCTGGCAAGCTCGTGGTTTCTGCTGTAGTGCAGTTGAGACGAGCTGCCAGATCTGGGGGAGGGAACAGGCTTCACCTTCCTAGGCAGCGTATTGAGGGAGTAAAGCGTTTATTTTAATGATGGCTTGCTTTATTATTATTTTTTTTTCCAGACCGGAACACCACCCAGATCGGTGAACTCCGGCTCTACTGTTAGTAGTGCTCTCTAATCGCTACATCCCCGCGCTCTGAATCACGGCCAAGACGATATCGCTCCTTAATTCCCTCCTTCCTCTCCCGCCCCGCGGTCTCACCCGGCGTAGGGCACAGCGGGACGGCGCAGCCCCGGCGGTACAGTTGCTATAGCAGCGGCGCAGCGCAGCCTCGGGAACAACTTTGGCCGCGGTGCGGGAGCCGCTCGGGTGGGGAGCGGAGCTGCGTCGCCCCTCTCGCAGCTCCGGGCTGGGCGGTGCGGAGCCATCTTGCCGAGAGGCGAAGGGTCCCGCGCTGGGTCCCGCTCCGGTCCCTCCACTCTGCTCTCGGCGGCCGCCGCTTTCTGAGTTGTATTTCATTTCTCCTCTCTTCCTGTGAGGCATCTCCCGGCAGCATGCCGATAGCCCACCTGCTGGAGCTATGGAAAGGGATCGAAGTGGAGCCCATGGAGACGGAGGTGAGCAGCCCGCGGGCTCCGCACCTGTTGCCTTACGGCCGGAGGCGACGGCGGAGGGAAGCGCCCCGAGGTGCGGGGACATAGTGCCGGGCACAGCACCGCGTCGGGGAGGGCGGCAGCTCGGCTGGTGCCGTAGGGCTGGGACAGCCGCCTGCTGCTGTGCCCTGCGTACCGTCAGCTGGGATTGCAGCGGCTTCTTCACTTGAGTTTTGAGACCTATGCCAAGGAAGGGCATCATCTTTGAGTGATGTAGTGGGCACCGTGGATTCGGGATGGGTATTTCTGGGGCTGCTGAGTAGTGTGAGGAAAAACGGTGTGTTCTCAGTTGGCTGTTTCACCAGGTGATGTAAATAGAGGAGTACCATTTGTGAGTGCTGTGTTTGCTATGTAGTGCTAAGTGTCATTTATGCTTAAAGGCTTCCTGGCTTTTGCGACTGTAGTTCTTAGATAGATTTTGGCAGGGATGTGGAGAGCAGTGTAGCTCAAACAGACGCTGTGAGAATGCTGAATGCCTCAGCAGAGGAGCCCCAGAACTCTGAGAAAGGTTTTCTACAAAGCATGGGCTTAAGTACCTGAGAAGCACAGCATGTGTTGTTATCCTGGTGCCGTTCATGCTGGAGGCTTGAGATTCATAACTAGTTTAGAGTCGGAGAGGTTTGTGTTCAGTACTGAGTGCCGCCTTCTGCTCCAGGCTGTGTAAGAAACCCTGTGTGCTAATGCAAGCTGGGTCTGAGTGTCTGCACATTGCTTCTGATTTCAGGTAGTCAGATAGCACCTTGCTCAGTCACCTTCCCAATGAGGAGTCTTCTATCCTATAGGGATATAAGGTTATAGATCACTGAACAGTTTTTCTACTGGACTTCATAGAAATGCTGCTATTCTTACTCAAACCAAATCTACCTTTCCACTTACTGTGATATTTGCCTCTGTTCAGTGCGTGTGCCCAGTGTCTTTCTGCCCCAGGCAGGAGACACTCAGCCATTGCACAGATGTCCTTTTGTACATCAACCCCTGCGGGGAAAAACAACCTCTGACCACAGGTGAAGCTCTCAGCTTTGTATGAAAGCCCAGTTACCACTGCCTGAGATGACAGCATCCTTATTTTCTCCCCTTATTGCTGGAGAAGGTTTTAGGCCCTTCCAGTCAAAGCAACAAAGCTGTGTGGTTCTCCTTACCAATGGAGTTGACCCTTTATGCATATAGTTAATCACATGGATGGTTTTAGTTTTTGTTTGCTTGTTTTTTAATCATTTCTTGCTCTTAGGAGTACCATAGCTATAAACTATGTGAGATAATCGTTCTTGATAAGATTTCACTTATGAAAAGGTCAGAAAGTTATGGACAGTGCTCTACTGTTTACGTAAGAATAACAGACAAAGCATCACTTAATTTCCTTGATTTATTGTTTTCTTTTAAACCCATTAAATAGACAGAAGATCTTACAGCCCTTTAGGTTTTGCTGTGGGAAGAATTTCTGCAGTACCATTTGCTCAAATCTAGTTAAGGTACACAAAATTAATTTGGTATTCTGCGGGCTCTTGTCCATGAAAAGCATTCATAGTTTCCATCAGTGATGCCATTGGCTCCATAATGGGCTGTTGCAGCCTGAACGCTTCTGTCTGAGCTGCGTCTTGGGAGCTGTCATAGGCTCTGAAGCTGTGTGGGATAATGTGTTTTTGTGGCTGTCTGCAAGTTGTTCTTTTCTTGTGTAAGCCTTTCTCAGTTAGTCGACAAGGAGGGAGACGGCTCCTCTTGTTTAGGCAGTAGGGTGTGCTTCTCTTCCTCTCCCTCAATGCCAAAAAGCCTTTTAAAATAGATGTGTTTAAGAGTGCTTGTGCATGACTCAGGTGAATGACTTGCAGATATTAATGATAGCATTTATAGTAGATCGATCGCATCGTAAGGAAGAGTGCATTGAGGACATATTATGTTTTATTATTTTGCAAGGGAAGAAAGGGATAAAATCCTGCTGCCTTCATCTGTTGGCTTAGGAGGTCATTAACTTCCTGATAAGAGAGCAATAACATGGGGATATTTACAGGCTCTGAATTTTCTTTGCGCTTAGGCAGGCTTATTGATGGATGGAGAGTAAGTTACAGCTTTGAGAATGTGTTTTTTTCAGAGGACGGGATGCTTGCTTATGCTTTCAGCTTGCTTCTGTCAGCTTAGACTAGAGCTGAGCACTCACTAAAATGTTAATATTGATGTGGAAGTTGTGTTTAGAAAACATAGCATTAAGTATACATATGTTCTCTCTTCTTAGCAAGAGTTACTGTTCTGGGCTTCAAATGTACCTTATTCATGAATAATCTTCTTTCATTCTTTTATCACTTCTCTGACAAACCCAGTTTCAACTGTTCATTGGCCGTCTTAGTGCCAGTGTGCTCCTGCTTTCTTCTATGTGCTCAAAGTAGTATACAAACTTTTACACATGTTGTGAATAAGTCACGTAAATACTCAGCAAATAGTATGTGGCTTTATCATAGCTTATGAGGGCTGCTCTGAAAGCGATGGCTCCTATTTCATTATGCTGATCTATGACATCAGAGGTGGATGTTGGTGGTACAGAATCAGAGGCTAAACCAATATCCCATTACTTTTCGTTGCTGTGTGACAGATGGCGGCAGAGGTGCAGTCTGACAAAATGGTGTCTGACACGGAAGTACAGATGAAGCAAAAGTGCATCACTGAATTCTTCCATGCAGAGAAAATAGCACCCACTGACATTCATCAACGGTTGCTGAACACTTATGGAGACCAAACATTGCATATCAGCACAGTGAAGTGGTGGGTGCTGCATTTCAGTTCTGGGTGGCAGTGGGTCACCTCTGCTGGTACAGACTTCAGACAAATGTGGTATGCAGGCTCTTGTTCATTGTTGGCAAAAATGCGTAGCTGTTAGTGACTGTGTTGGAAAAACAGTGCTCTGTCCCTGAGAATTTGCTCTATTAGGTAGGTGTTATTGTGCTCTTTGTATCTATAGTAGTTTCCTTGGAAAGAAAATAGGAGACACTACTCTTGGAGCAATCTACACATCTATGAGAGGAAGATTATGTTCTTGGATTCAAAGCTTATATTACCTACATTAAATGTGAATAGTTGAATGTACCTGTAGTGGTGGAGCTGTATCTTTCCTAAGAATGTGTATTCACATGAAAATTTTCCTTTCTGTTCCCTAGCCTGTGGTGGAAGAAGCTACCCTGGATGAAGAACCTGTAAAAGAGGCAAGTCTATGTATCTGTGTTTCACACATTAGTGAATGATTATGTTATAACCTTTTGCCTTTATAGAAATGGAATGTCTGAGGAGCTTTCTCTCCATATGTTTCTAGCATTGAAGATGCAAGTACAATGTGGTTGTTTTTCTTTTTTTGTTTTTAAAGAAAAAAGAAGTTGGCCAACTGGTGGGAAAATGATTTTTTTTAGCTGTTGTTCTGCTGTCTTTCCCAGAAAGAATACTTCTCCAGGCCAGTGCCTTTTCTAAGGGGGGTATTTTATAATGGCCTCAGGAAGAGTAACTGCCATCATAACGCTGCTTCTGTGTCATGAGTTTTGCCTGACTGATTGCTTTACATGTTATTCAACTTTGATTCCTGTATGTCCACTGGAATTGCTCTTCATCAAGAGCATGACTAATCTAATCATTTCATGCAGGTTTTATTTATTTGCATTATTGTGGCATTGTACTATTTTCCTAAAAACTGTAGAAAAATACTGTCCTTGCCTCAGAGCTCAAATGCCAAATAGATGCAATGGAATGTGATAGAGAGCTGCAAAGCAGTTGAGAACAAAATTAAGCATTGACTCTTGTGATCAGCCAAGGGCAAAACTTGACTACATAACAGGTTGCTGCTGACCAAAGGTGTCAGCAGGTGGTGATGCTGCTGGTCTGAGACAGTAAGCAAAGGATGTGTGGAAGATGGCTCTGTATTTCTTTCTTTCAAAAAGTGGCTGAAAATCTTAAGGGTGAAGGGAGGTTGCAAAGATGTTTGTCTGAATTGCCTCCTTTGAACACATGAAGCTTCCCCACTCCTGGTAAGCTCCTTTTACTCATAGAAGTTTTATGCTTTGCCTGAGATATTTGGGTTTTGGTGAAGGGTAAGGTGGTTGTTGCTTTTTGCTATGCTGAAGGAGTATCTTAAACTCCTAATGATAGAAAGGGGGGATGGAGTCTTGTTTTTTGAGTCCTTTGGAATAGGTGCAACTTCATCTTGTGAACTTCTTCCCCTTTCAATTTTTAAAGATGGCAACAAATTATTCTCCAAAAAGCCTAGGGCTGAAATCAAGTGCAGGTAACAGTCCTCATCATGATACCTTCTGAGAATAATGCTGAAAATTAAGATCACGGTTAGTGGACTCTTGAGTTTCAAGAGGATATTTCTGCTTCATTCCCTAAATAAATGTAAATGAATTTAAACCTACTTTATTTTTATTAAGGATGTACCTTAGGATTCTTAAGTTTTAACTTAAACAGATAAAAGTTGTGAGTAATGATTACTTAGACATCCCAGCCCTATGTTCTCTTATTTTCTTACATGTTCTCTGCTCTGAGTACAATTTGCTTTTTTGGTATCTGTGTGGTAATTGTGTTTAGCTCCTGTGTATCTGCTCCTGCTGTATTTCTAATGGGAGTGATGCAGTTATGTCTGACAGAAACTTGTTGTAATTATGCATTAGAAAACACACACAGTGGGGACTAACAAATACTTGACAGTGAAATATCTGTTAAATGTCACCCCTTCGCTATTCAATTAAGTTTTCTCAGTGCTCTACAGTGAATATCATTAAGGAAAATGGTTGGATTTCTTTGTCCTTACTCTGCTGCTGTCATGTTATTTCAGACGTTGTCTGGCTGAGGCTATAATCCTGATATTTCGGTGAAGCATACATCTTACTGCAGGGGTCTTAAAGGGAACTGTCTGCTGTTGAGGTGAATTTTCTTACTAATTGCTCTTTGTGCCCAGTTCCGAAGTCAGTTTTTCCACGAAACATTGAAGCATGACTTAGGGGGTGAATTGAAATCGGGATATGCAATGGATAACACTCGCTCAGGGGATGCTCTTGTTAGAAACTTGCTCTGGGCTGCATTGACTTCATGCTGTTTCTCTTATCAAGTGTGTAGTACAGGCAAATGAGACAGTGGCAAATACATTACGGAAACTTCACTTCGTGTTTTTCAGTTGGCTGATCTTGATGATGGACAGGCTTTTTTTAAACATCTTGGAGTGTGTAACTGATTAATTTGTCTGTTGCCTACAGCATGTGTTTCCGAGGCACATCTTGGTCCTCCAAGCAATGTGTCAGCACTCAGGAGTGGGCCCCTGGCCCAGCCACAAAGGCAAGCACATTGGTTGATGAGGACTTCCTTGAGACAAATTCTTATTCCAGTCCTTGCTTATACTTGTTGGATCCTGTTTTTCTGTAAAATGATTTTTTGACAAGGTTGTCTTTATTATTTTTAATAGGGAATAATAAGCTTGACCATGAGTTATTACAAGCACAAATACATTCTTAAATAAGAGTGCTGTGCTTTGTGGTTTGGTCTAGATTCAAGTAAAGAATTTATATCGGATATAAATTCTTCCCTGAAGCTGCAGTTGGCAGCAATATCTATTGTTGCATTGTTAAAATAAATAAATAAATGAGCATATGCAAGTTTCAAAGCACTGTGATACTGCATTTGGAAGCTAGATTTCAGCTTTCTTTTGCTTTGAGTTGTTTCACTCTTCCAAAGGGGTTTGCAACTCTTCAATTAGACTTGCAGGGAGGGGCTTTGGAAAAGTTGAGAGTTGCAGCACAAGTTGTGGCAGTCAACCAGAAGCAGAACTAGGTGAATTCTATGGATTTTTCTCTATGAAAACTGCATGGTGAAAGTGAGAATGGTAAGACCTGGTCTTATTGACTACTTCTGGATTGAGATTTCAAAAGATGCATGTAATTTTCTGCTTGTATCATGCACTCATACAGGAACAATAAAATCATAGAGACCAATTAAAAGAACCTGGCTGCTTCTTTCTGTCAGGCATTTATATACCTTGGTGAGATCTATCCCCTGAAGCATTATCATCTTCATATTGAGCAATTTCAGCTTTTTTAAGTTAATTGGAGGTGTTTTGATATGCATAGTATTGACTGCTCAACTGATTATGAAGACTAAATGTCTTTTTTTAATGCAGACCACAGTATTTTTTTTCACAGGGTGAATAAATAAAATAACATACCCTCTGCTGAAGCATAACTCTTTTGTGTTGGCTAGAGTCTATCCTGAGCTTTGTTGAAGTAGGACTCTGCTGACGTGGATCTTGCATCTGTTCTTGGTACTCCAAAAAGTACCTGTGCAGTGGAATGGTGCAGCTTGCACAGTTCAAGGAAATGGTGTGTACTGTTATATTTCTCCTCCCTCCCATTTTTTCCATTTATCTTTATTCCTTAAGTAGACAACAACACAGCCTAGTCTGATGCTGTTATTCAGTATGTAGCAATGGGCAATCCAACACTTTGGACCATAGCAGTTAATGCTAAGTAAATGTCATGCTGAGTATGGGGGGAAAAGGTCCTTGTAAAATATACACAAGTTGTAAAGCACTTAACAGAATCAGGATGCTTGATTTTTTTTTTTTTTGGACAATTGTTATTACTCTAATAAAAAAGTTCATATATGGGAAAACTATTCCCTCATGCAAATGAACTTGTTCTATAATGGCAGTTGGTGCCTGAGAGACTGCTACCTATGAACTAATGGTGTCACTGGGAGAAATTAGTCACTTGGCAGCCACTGGAGGTGAGGATAAATTCTATCTGTGATGACTGTGGTGCTTCCAGAGAGCTGTGGTTTTGGAGTTGACTTGACTCTTATATTAAGTGGAGGAGGAGGGGGGAGAAATGCACAAATTTTACACTCAGATAATTGCAGCTCTAGGATAAGTAAGTCTAATTTTCTTTTGTTATAATAAACTGAAAAGACTTTATTTTTTTTTTTAAACTCCCAGCTTGTGTATTATTTTAACTCAAAGCTTGGAAGTAGATACTTTCCCCAAAGTAAAATTGAAGTGGCAAAAATGAAGTAAAACAAATGCTGTTCTGGAAGGAAAAAAAGCTTTCCACTGGCTACTTTATTTCAAAGATATGATGGGGAAGTCAAAAGGTAGCCCCACCAGCTGTGCTGTAAGTACCAAATGTATGTTGTTAGACATAAGGTAATTATCCTGTTAGCATTGTAGGTAATAAGAATTAAACTTCTGTTTCCAGGTATACATATGATTTAGGCTGCAATGTATTTTATTCAAGAAGCTGCCTGGTTTCCTGTTGACTGGAAATGGAGCCATGGGTAGTTAGGTTCTGTACAGTATTTCTTTCATAACTAAATTGTAGGCTCTTCTCAGTGGTGTGTAGCAGTAGGGCAAGGAGTAATGGGCAGGGAATTTGAACAAAGGAAGTTGCATACAAACATGCAGAACTTCTTTACTGTAATGTTGATGGAGCACTGGATCAGGTTGCTGAGAGAGGTTGTTGAGCCTCCTTCTATGCAGGTATTTAAGACCTAGATGCCTCCCTGTGCTGCCAATTTTAGAGAACTTGCTTTATTAGAGGGGTTGGACTTCAATGATCTTTTGAGATCCCTTCCAACCCCTGTGATTCTGTGTGATCAGATGACCTCTTGGTGGTTGTAAAGGTTGTAAAGGTATTAACTTCATGTAAGTACTTCTACTCTGGATGTGCAGAAGGAACTTAGTAAATTATGGATTTTACCCACTGTTTAGATCTGTCTTGGATTGCCTGATCACTATTTTCATCTGTCTTGTAGCTTCTTTCTTCATCTTTAATTGCTGTTTTTGTGAAGTCAGTAATCAGACTGATTACTGTGTTCTTTCAGTTCTGTCTTGGATTCTTCTTTCTGTTATCAAACTGAAAAGGACAAAAGGGGGGGGGGGGAGGGGGGAAGGGGAATGTTCTGTGAACTAATGAGCATGTATGATGGATGACTGAAGTACTCTCTTATCCTTTTGTTGATGTCTTTCATCTGTGGTGCCTTTAGTGTTTAAAATGTGGTGTTAAAGTCTGTTTATTAATGTTTGAATACCTGAAAAGATGACCTGGTCTTCATGTGCTGCAATGAGCACAGCTCTCATTTCTAGTGATCTGAAACTGGTGGGGTCCACAACGCTTGCCAACATAAAACTTTATTCTTTTTATTTCTTTTTAGTCTTGTTTTTAACAGCAATAAG